CTACCAGTCTCGATGTGGCTGCTGCTTTAATTCCGTAGTTGTAGGACTTCCGTTCAGCTTGAGTTCAGGCGCTTTTGAATGATGGTTGTTCTGTAGTTTAGTTGTAACTTTGATGTGGTTGTGAGAGGATGCAATACCGCTTTTGCCTTCGCCGCCATCTTGACCGGAAGTCTCTGATTTCATTTTTGACCCATAAATTATTTATAAGCATGCATTTAATCTCTGATGTGTTGGGGTTTTCTGGATATCTTTTTACTGATTTCTAATTTAATTCCATTGTGGTCAGGGAATACCCTGTGTATAATCTCAATATTTTTAAACTTTGAGACTTGTTCCACAGCCCAGCATATGGTCTGTCTTGATGAATATACATAGCAAGCGTATCTTAAGAAATTTAACAGTCAATACAAACCCTTCTGCATTTTGACCATTAGTTTATGAATTTTTTTTTCTATCCTCACCCAAGGACATTTTTCCATTTTTTGTTCAGGAGAGTGGGAAGGAGAGAGACGAAGAGAGAGAGGAGAGAAACATCGATGTGAAAGAGGAGAGAAACATCGATGTGAAAGGGACACAACGAGTGGCTGCCACCCACACGACCAACCAGGACCAGGGCCAAGGTACGCGCCCTTAGCGGGAACCTAACCGACTGTCTCTGGACCGCAGGCTGACGCTCTGATCGCTGAGCCAAACTGGCCAGAGCAGGGGTGGGGTCTTTGTTTTTTTCTTAAAGCATTAACAACTAGCCAAAACAGTCCATTTGGAATGGATTAAGCATTAGGCAGTTTATTTATTTAATTTATTTTTGTTACAAATGCTTCTCCTTTTTCCCCCAATGATTCCCCGCTCCCCCTCCCTCCCTGCCCTGTCCCCCGCTTTGTCATGTCCATTGTTCATGCATACATGCATATAAGTTCTGTGGTTTATGTCTCCCCCACCACCCCCTCTTCTGGGGATTGTCAATCTATACCCCACTTCCACATCTTTGGAACTACCAGTTTAAAGGACAAACTGCAAAGACTTTAAGTGCCTAAGAAGGTAAGCCCATTGATCGCCACAAGTAAGATTAGTATCTGGTGTGTTCAATTCCAAGTGAATTTTGCAAGATAACCAGATGTCCTCAAATATGTTTAGGGCTGTCTCCTGGCCCATTTGCCTTTCACATAAGCACTTCTGACCTATAGAATACAACAGGTTTAAATTTTGTTCTCTTTCTCATTAAGGGTATGAAGGTGGCTAATTCTGACAGGGTAAAAGCTTGGACATAGGCAATTAAAAGCCTTCCCAATTCTAGTGGCTGCAATTCCTGCAATCATACTTTAGAGTACTGCCTGGCACTTGTACCAAGATTAAATTGTATAACGGCTTTTTGGCAGTTACTTAATAGAAAGCCTGTAAAAGAAAACCCATACCAGTGATGCCTTTTGTTATAGAGCCATAGTGTCCACTAACCATAGTAACTATGGAGTGCTTGTAATGTGGGTAGCCCAAATTGATATGTGCCAGTACAATGGATTTTGAAGACTTAGTATGAAAGAAAAAAAAAAAAAAAAAAATCTCAGCAGCCCTGGCCAGTTTGGCTCAGCAGTTAGAGGGTCGGCCTGCGATCCAGAGACCCGGGTTCGGTTCGCGCTAAGGGCACGTACCTCAGTTGCAGTTTGTCCCCCGCCCTAGTTGGGTCATGTGGGTGGCAACCACTCCATGTGTCCCTTTCACATCGATGTTTCTTTCTCTCTCTCCCTCCCACTCTACCTGAACAAAAAGTGGAAAAATGTCCTCAGGTGAGGATTAAAAAAATTTTCAGCAATGATTTTTAACACATACATGTTGAAATGATAGTGTTTTGGATATATTGAATTACATTATATTTAAATTAATCTCACCTGTTTCATTTTAGTGTCAATGGGGTTACAAGGACATTTAAAATTACATAGGTAGCTCAGATATTTTTGGTGAGACAGTCCTGCCATTTTTAACAAAAACCAATGACCAACTGGATATCCACATGCAAAAAACAAGGTTCATAGACCAAAAACGCATACCAATGGAACTCCTACAAGATAACTTAGGAGAAAATCTAGGTCATATTGGGTCTGGCAATGACTTTTTAGATACATCAAAGGCAAAATCCATAAAAGAAATCGATAAATTTGACTTCATTACAATTAAAAACGTGTGTTCTGCGAAAGATACCGTCAGGAGAATAAGACAAGTCACAAATTTGTAATGTAATCTGATAAAGGACTGTTATCCAAAATATACAAAGAACTCTTAAAATTCAATAATAATAAAAAAAAACAATTAAAAAAGGGGCAAAAGATCTGGACACCTCACCAAAGATATACACTTAGTAAATAAGCATATGAAAAGATGCTCAACATTATCTCATCAGGGCAATGTTTACAGCAACTCTATTCATAATTGCCAAAACTTGGAAGCAAAGATGTCCTTCAATAGGTGAATGGATAAGCTATGTTATATCCAGGCAATGAAATCTTTTTTTAAGTAAGTAATTGAAGAAGATATTTTGGGACTGGTTACCTTTTCCTTGCCTTTATTTTATTATTTTTGTGTGTGATACGTGCATCTAGCAGGAACTGAACCCGGGACTCTGGTCCACAGGCCGTCGCTCAACTGCTGAGCCAAACTGGCCAGGGCTAGGCAATGAAATCTTAATCAGCACTAAAAAGATATGAGCTATCAAGCCATGAAATGAAATGGAAGAAACTTGAGTACATATTACTGTGAAAGAAGCCTACCTGAAAAGGCTACAAAGTATATGATATATCACACGTGACATTATGGAAAAGGCAAAACTCTGGAAGACAGTGAAAAGATCAGTGTCTAACCAGGGGTTAAGAGGGAGGAAGGATGAAGGAGGCAGAGCACGTAAGATTTTCAGGACAATAAAACTATTCTGTAATCTACTGTAATAGGGGATACATGTCATTACACATTTGTCCAAACCTACAGAATGCACACCAAAAGTGTATCTTAATGTAAAACTATGGTCTTTGTGTGATGAGGATGTGTCACTGTAGGTTCACCGATTGTAACAAATGTACTGTTCTGGTGGGAGATGTTGATAGTGGGGGAAGCTGCAGGTGGGGGGATGGGGTAGGGATGAGGGGTGCACAGGCAGGAAATATATGGGAATTGTCTGTACTTTCTGCACCATTTTGCTGTAAACTTAAAACTGCTCTTAAAAAAAATAAAATCTATTTTAAAAAATGATAATTCAGTGTTCAAACATTTTATTAAATCAGATAAGGAATCTCCACATCGTTGTACATACTAGCTTGCATATAATTAGTTATAGGGGCTTGTTTACAAAGATATAGCTGAGCAATAAATGGAGAAGTTTAATTAATAAGCCACATAAAATTTCAAGAACATTCAAAGAGGAAACAGTAAAGGTCATGCAAGTTCTAGAATAGTGAATCGTGACAGAGCTCATTCATTTTATCCTTTACCTTCAAAATGTACATGATATATATAACCAGAAAAAAATAAGAAGGCTACCAGGTTGTCACTGGTGAAATATACATTTCATTCAGGAATATGAAGCCTTACTACTTGTTTGATTGGAAATAACTTTAACTACAGAAAAATGTTGTTTTTTTTAAAAAAAGGGATTTACTACTGTAAAATATATGCCCATTATTCATATGATGCCTTGAAATCACTGAGCTTTTATTGAAGTATGATAAAGCATGACACTCAAGCCAGGATCCCCAGCAATGACCTTTTTACTTAGCTACACTAATATCATTCAAGATAAAACACTGTGAAGACTAAATAGACTGAGTAGTGAAACCATTCAGCGAGGCTGTAAAAATCCAGATCTATTTTAACTTACTTATTTGTTCACATCTACATGTAACTTATACCACCATGTACCAATAGGTAGAGAGACACGATCAAAGATCCTTTTGCAAGCTTCAGCTCCCCACACCCTTCACCACCACCCTCCCCGACCTCCCGTACAAGTTTTCCCTGCTTTAAGCTAAAAGGTCAGTTCTGGACTCACACCAGTATGAACTAAAGTTATAGGAGATAACATGCATATAGGAGATAGAGTTAAATTCATTTGTCAATAGCAAACATTATAAATGTATGCTACTATACCGCTAAACAGAAGACCCAGAGAAACCATAAATATAACAAAACACCACATGAGGTTTAAAAACAACCTTTGAATCAACAAAAAGAATCCTGAAGGAAGTAATTTTATTTTACCATGGTTAAATTTACCCACTAAATGTTTAATGACCACAAAATGTTTCTGCAACTAAAACTAAAAGACAGAGAATTATAGGGAGCTAGAAATACATGTTAGATACTAACGATCTTCAAGCTTTGAAGATGTCATTGCATGAAGAAAATTATGGGAAACACTGTTCCCGATAATTACGTACACCCTTAGTGTAACATATGGAGATCACTGTCTCCGATATAGACACTGTGGTAGGCAAAAACTACCTTGTTCTTTATGCATTATGGAAGACACTGCTCCCGATAATGTGAGTTAGGTTTGTGACAAAGGTACTGGAAATTTTGCAAAATTTGAATTAAAGTTACACCATGGATAAATTGAACTATAAATTTTTGCATATGAGTGCTATCACAGCCTTTAGGTGGCATTAATTTATAACTTGGTCACAATTCATTGCATTTAGGAAAACTACCATTTTTATCTACTTGGCTAAAGAGGAGTCTAACTTGATTAACAACCCCTAATTAAATTGAAATTTTCTCTAATATTTAGCTTTACAATTTATGAGGCTGCTTTCTAAAGTTAAGTATTGACCATTATAAATGCAAAACTTCCAGTATCTGTTGGGTTTTATTAGCAGATGCTGCTTTTATTTAAAAAAAACAAAAAACGACAGTATAACTGTCATAATTATGGAAGGCACTGCTTCCGATAATTATCTTCTATAAAAAAAAACAAAACACCATTTATAGTGAACTCTGTCACTGATAAATAAACAATAAATATCTCAGAGCCAAAATGATAGAAAACTTTTCCAAAAAATTAACACCTGGACCAAAATTTGGCAGTGTATTCTCTAAAGTCTGACAAACTGAGTTTGAAAACTAAACACCTAAAACTGGTTCTCTTTCAAAATGTCTTGGGGAAAAAAACCAACAAAATACTACACAAAGGCTTATGGGGGAGGGGACAGAGGGAAAGAAAATATACTAGGTCTTTGGCTTCTGGTCTCCTCTCTTCATAAATGATCTTGAGGTTAACAAATTAAGGCCTTGCTCCTGCGATAAACAGTTGAACCCTATTTTATCCAGCTAAAGGACCTCTATTTCAGACCTGGATGGTAAGAAAACAAGTCCCATCTCTTCTGAAAGTTAACTGTTTCGTTCAGGGATGTGGAAACCAGCTAAATACTTAAAGAAGGCATATATCTCGTTTGGAGGATAAGGTCTTACAACCTGGTATCTGCTATCTTAGCATCAAATGAAGATGGAGGATCACACTAAGCTACCACTTTTAACCTTCAGCAGACATCACTTTCCCCCTCCCACTTAAGATACCAGTTCATGTCCTCAAGATTTAGAAATAATTCACTTAATTGGTTTTGACTTTTTTCCCCCCCATAACTAACAGAAAAGAGGCAGTTACCATTCCAAAGCACTTAAAATTCTAGAGAAAATGTCCTACCATGAACATTTTTCAGTGGTTATTCACTTTAACTTGAAATGCAGGTACCCACCCTGTTTTAAAAGCTGCTGCCTAAAGACATCTAGTAGTACCAAGATGATGGGTAGAACTTCAACAATATTAGGTTTTGTAGCCCTACTGAAAATTTAGCACAACCAGGACAAGTTATAACTCCCCTAAGTTATGGGTATTACATTTAAAACTCATTGTCAATGTCCCAAATGTCACCAGAGAGAGCATTTGCAGCTCCCTGAATAGTCCAAGTTGCTAAAGCCAGCTGGTTTCTCAACAGCGTTTCATTGAAAGCACCGTTATTTTTTCGACGCAGCTTTAAGTGCTCTAGTAAAGCTGACACAGTGTGGGAGCCAGAGCCCCAGAAGATGTGTCGGAAAGGAGAATCTCTTGGAGATACATAGGGCGAGAGGAAGTGATATTCCACCTAAAAAAAAAACACACAAGACAGCTTACACAGTGTTATGACTTGTTGAGGAAAAAACCTGATCTAGCAAAACCACTGTCATTCTCCCACTTCAAATGTTACAATTTCTCTGAATTTAAGAATGTTGAGAACCATTGTTCTAATGTTCTAATGTTCAAATTATAAAGCCAAATGACAATTCCTTTGTAAAATTGAACTCTAATGGTGTGTATTTTTTTTTTCTTTGGTTGGAGCATAGATATGTAAGGTTTACAAGTTTCTGCTGTAACAGAATCTTCTACTTCTTCCAAGCAGACTAAAGGCTGGATTAGGCAACAGAAATACAAAGAAAATGACAGCTAGAAAGCATTAATAATCTCTTCTATAAAATGTTTTTAAAGCCTAAAAAATTAACACTAGGCTAAATGTCTCTTATAGTTCCAATTTTGATATGTTGGTTTTAGATCTTGTAAAAAAGGTCAAGTCTGTATTCTATAAAGTAGCAAAGGAGTCTAGGCTTCTGCAGTTATACTTTTTAGAAATGCAAGATTTACCAACTAAAAATGATCCTATTTTAGTTCCTCTTTTTCTAAGAGGTACTTACTTTCATGATACGGTCATTGATTTCCCTCATGACAAATCTGTCTGTTCTCTCTGCATTCTTATAATCTGTTGTTAGACTGGAGGTTGCACGAAAAAAGTCTCCACGAGCAGAATATAGCCACTGTAGGTTCAGACCCATCTCCTGGAGCAAAAAAGACATTCCATCCACAATTAGATGTTATATTTCTAAGGATATTATTCTATATACCTATCTAATTTGGGTGTAGCAACTAAGATTCTGATAAAAGAGGGTGGCTCACAGACAAGTGCAAGATCCAGAGAAAGCTAGACAAAAGCACCTGTACAGGAGACCCCAAGCTCTGTAAAATATAGCAATATACTCATATTTAAGCCCAGCATATAGTACAGTATACTCCTAGTCTCATAAAAAAACCATCCTCTTCAAAAATTTTAACATAACCTACTCAGTCCAAGTATATAATTCTGTGTAGTACGTCGTTTCCAGTTCAATTTTCCTGTGGGAGAACACATGAAGCATTTTGGTTCAACAAACTTCAGAATCTAGTTATTCCCATCTGGTTAAGTCCCATTTTCTGATCCATTACAATTTGTTTCAAGAAAGTGATAATAAGCCCTAGCTGGGTAGCTCAGCTGGTTAGAGCGTCATCCCAATACACCAATGTTAGGTGTTCAATCCCTGGTCAGGGCACATACAAGAACCAACCAATGAATGCATAAATAAGTAGAAAAACAAAATCGATGTTTCTCTCTCTAAATCATTTTAAAAAAATTTAAAATATGCCCAGCCAGTGTGGCTCAGTAGGTTGAGTGTCATCCTGTGGACTGAGAGGTCCCATTTCAATTCCTGGTCAAGGTACATGCCCAGGTTGCAGGCTCGATCCTCAGTAGGGGGTATGCAGGAGGCAGCCAATCAATGTTTCTTCTCTCTCACATCAATGTTTCTATCTCTCACTTTCTCTATATAAATAATAATAAAAAATTAAAATAAAAAGAAAGCCACAATAATTAACATTTGGTTATCAGTTGGAAATCACTTTTGATTTTATTGAATGTTTGAATACTACATAGGATAAACACTAAATAAGACTGTAACCAACTATTGACTATGTTCTCTCTCCATTCATGTCATCTCCAAAAGGTATATATATCTAAACTCATAGGTTCAAAGTCATGGCTGAGATCTTTAGTCTATGGGTCCCAGCTCTATACAGGTTGTTTAGAATACATGAGCAATAGGAAACTTAACATAGTTCTAGATTCTGAAATACTTGCTGTGGTCTATCCTAGATCTACAACCCATAGCCTCCCAATCTCCTTTTCAAATGCATTATGGATTCTAAGCAAAATTATACCTCAGTTCACTTTAAAATGTATTTTTGTTACCAATCATATCCCTTCCCAGGAAGAGCTAAACATCATCCTTCAAACTGCTTAATACTGCAGCAATAAGAACCCGATTTTAATTAGTGCTCACCTTTATGTCTGTTCTGAATTGGTTCACATCCCTCACAAATGCAAGTATTTTTTCATTATACATATCATAGTTCAGGTTCAATTCAACATCATGGGTAAGTTTAATCATGAGCTGACCAGCCACTTCTGCCGCTGCCCGTGCCATTTTGTCCAACTCAGGGACTTCCCGAATCAGGGCATTATAGGTATCCTGGGTAGTACCTAAATACGGATAGTCTCTGTCCTGGAAAACAAAGTGATGTCAGTGTACTTGGGTGGGTTAGAAGAGCAGGTGCCTCACATTCCAGTTACACCATTAAGGTAATAGTAACTGCAGCTCTTCCCTTGTTTCTAATGTATTCCTAACCCCAATTTTATCTCTTATCCACTACTTTAAGAAGACACCACTTTTGTTACTTTCTTTGAACCTAACCTACTCCAAGAATGACTACTTTCTTCTAGGTTCTATAAAATCCCTGTTCTGTTACATCAGATACCCAGAAGAGATTTTTAGCCAATTCCTTCCGGTTATCCCTTGTTATCCTCTCTCTGGGAAGTTTAACCCATTTTAATGAGGCAAGAGGAGAGCATGTGTGAAATGTACTTTCAATATGAAGTGTTCCTACTTTTAGACTAAAATTTGCCTCCTTTTTAATCATGTAACTTGATCCATTCACAGAACTTTACCTTTCTGACAAGAATGTCTGATGCTCACAAGAACTTCTCTCTTCATTAGACAACTATAGTAACTATTTCTTCAACTCTAATCCCTGCAATTGTCCATGGTGACAATCTCACCGAATCCTTTGGCTGGACCTCAATTCTTTACTTTCAGACTGAATATTTCTGTATTATCTGTATATCTAGACTAGCACTGCTATGTATTGACATCTAAGAAGTCATTAAAAAGTTTAAAAATATGATTTCTGAAGGTCAACAGGAATCCTCCATAAATTTCCTCAACCACAGCTAATGACACACAGCTCTCCCTAAGGCACTAAGACATCATAACCAGCTATTGCAATATAATTCATACTGCTGCTCTAGCAGGTCAAGGGAATTCTACCGATTTTAATCTCCAAATCCAGATCTTTCATCACTCCCTCACTTCAAACCTTTCCCCGTCTGGTCTGAGGCTAAAACACCCAGTGATGAGAAACCTAGTAAAGACCTGGCCTCTACTGGGTTAACAATTTGATGCCATAGTCAACAACAGCTTCCACTGTGGCCCCCATACTACTCCTCTAGGATCTCGCACCCTTGGAGGAGCCTGCTACAGACCTTGTTTCCAACCCTAGCACTTTAACACAGAAGTCTTCATCATTCGGTTTACTCTGCCTGCCTTTCAGTGCCTTCTGACTGGCTCTCATACCAAGCCAATCTTGTTTTCCTGCAACTTGATCAGTTCAAAGTTCTGTCTCATAACAATTTTACATCTGTTTGGTTTTTGTTTTTACCCATTATCCCTGCTTAACAAATATCTAGAATCATATTTCAAGAGGTATCAAGAACAGCATTGTCCAGTGGAACTTTGTTTGATGGAAGGAGCCTATATGTCCACTGTCCAAAAGGTAGCCTTATTAACTGATCTTACTTCAATGAAGTTTTAGCAAATAAAATCAAATGCTAATCAAACAAATTAACAATAAAAAAAAACTGATCATAGGTAGCATGCAATAACTGCATGTGTATAACTTCTTAAAACATTTTAAGCACTCTAGGAAACTTGGTCTCAAAACTGATGAAAGCCCTGGCCGGTTTGGCTCAGCGGTTAGAGCGTCCACCTGCGGTCCGGAGAGACCTGGGTTCGGTTCCCGCTAAGGGCATGTACCTCGGTTGCAGTTTGTCCCCGGCCCTGGTTGGTCGTGCGGGTGGCGACCACTCGATGTGTCCCTTTCACATCGATGTTTCCCTCTCTCTCTTCCTCTCCCTCCCTCACACTCTGTCTGTACAAAAAATGGAAAAATGTTCTCGGATGAGGATTAAAAAACAAAACAAAAAAAAAAAAACTGATGAAAGAAGATCCAAGATATAACACTCTAGAGTTCTTCAAACTTACCTCACAAAAAGAGAAAGAAACTGCTGGGATTCCAGAATACGCAAGGAAAGGGAAAGCAGCATTATCAAAAGAAAGTTTCTCACTGCAAGGAAAGTAAGACATGATTTTTAGAAAGTTTTCCAAAGAACAGTCTGTGCTACCGTGCAACCTTACTCCTAGCCCCAAATAAGATCTTAAAATGAATCTCTCCAGGTATAGGTAAGTTCACTGCAAGGTTACATTTAGATCCTCTACTTAACACAGCAGGTGCTATTGTGTTATTGTTTTTCTATCAGCTGTTCATTCACTTTTCTCCACTTACACTTTGTTGATCCAGTTGCTATCCCGATATAGAGAAAGCCCAGTAATGGGATGTTTCACCTGTAAAATAAGAAATTAATTTATCACTAAAACAAACTTTTCTGAAATATATTTCTTATATAAACATTCATTTAAAATACTAAGTTTTTATTATATCTCCTTGAAAAATATTTAAGACAAAACAATCTCAAATTTCTGAAGTTACTCCTACTAAGCTTGTGCTGTTAGTTCCTTTAGTTCAAGTGAGAAAAAATGTTTTCCTACTTAACATTTTAAAGGTGGTTTAGCCACAATTTAAAAGCCCTCTCTTAGCCTTCCTGATATGCCTATCTCATTTCTGGTTTCTTCCTGCCAGCACATTTCATACTACTGCCAGCCTAACGTGCAGGCACATTAATGCTTTACTGGGGACCCTACTGTGATCCTTTGTTTCCCATGAAATCAAAGTTAAGTTCCCTGACCCTTGTTCTTTTCCAAATTTAACCACTCCAATACATAACCTCTAATCCTATTAGGCAAATCTGGTCCCTCACTCATTCAAAACTATTATCATTCATATGTCTGTCTTTATTCAATACATATTTAATCTGGCACTCTTATTTACGTCTTATGAACAGTATAAGCCCATTGAAAACCTTCCTTAACATCCTGACTCTATAGACAACCCTTTGTGGGCATCTACAGTACAGCTTAGGCCTCGTGGAATTCTGCTACATATTAGTAAACAGACTACATATTGTTTGACATCTGAGCCTGCATATGCCATCTCACATGGTTAACAGCTGGAGACAAATAAGCCAAGAGCATGACTGAAATAATGCTGATATAAAATTTATTCTAAATCCCTGTTGTTGTTACTTATAATAGTTTAACTATCACTTTTTTTCACCTATGTGAATTAGGAAAAAAATTAAATAAGTGATACATTTTTGTAATTAGGTATACACTTACGTCTTTCATTGTTTTCTCAATAAGTGAATACAACAATGGGCTGGCAGAAACCTTGAAGTTGCTGGTACCTGCAAAGAGATGATTTAACATTCCACCTTCTCTAGTCAAGCAATTTTCACATTGCTACTTCTACTACTATAAGTACTTGGAAAACAGAAAGAAAGGAAGACAACCTAGATCAGTGGTATAGACAACAATTATCCTCTTAATGAAGTAGATAAAAATGTGATCTAGGAGTCAAAGTTCTTTAGTGACTGCTAACCTTAATTTGACTCAACTAAAGCTGTTACTCCTTGAGTTTGCATACTTTAATGATCTGGTTTTTTGGTTCATCAATGTTAAGGTAATCATCTGCTAGTTAGAGTAAGCTTGTTATATTCATTCAATAAATTCTATTGGATAGGTAAAATGGCAATAATGACAAATCTAGTAAGATTTCATTTATTTGTAACTTCCTCCCTGTTCCCACCAGTGGAGACATTTCACTATTCTCTGTTCATCCATTGGCTACATCTGCACTTTTAATAACATTCAAACTCTTTTTATTGGCATCTCCATCTATGATGCCACAATCTAGCAATATGTGAACTAGTCCCTAGAACTACTATTCTACACAGCACGGTTTAGTTCCTTCTGGTCTAAAGTATAGTCCAGACCAGTGGTTCTCAAACTTTAGAGCATCAGAATCACCTGGAATGCTTGTTAAACCTGTTTTCTGGACTTATGCTCCAGTTTCTGACTCAAAGATCTGGGAATAGGGCCTAAATTTTTTTCATTTCTAATCATTTCCAGGTGATCCTGATGCTGCTGATCTGGGGACCACATTGAGAACCACTGTTCTAGACAAAGCAATGTGCACCCATTTTATAACGTACTGGACTATTAAGAGAAAGCTGCTAAGTCAACCTTTTGATCTGGACATGGCCAATGTAAATTATAGATAGTAACAAGTTCTGCTTTAGAAAGCTTTCTTCTGTTTTATTAGTTTATCTAAATTCATAAACAGATAATGAAAAGGATACTTACCAAGAACAACTTTATCCAGATTAATGTAAGTGAAAGCCTTTAAATACAAGGAAGAAAGGTATCCCTAGAAAAGAAGGGAAAATACTAATTTACTAACATGCATTATTAATCTTATTATCACACACAGTAACTATTATTAGGGGTTTCTTTTAAAATCTGGATTCTACATAGTGAACAAAATAGATCCAGAATCATGGAAGTAGAGAATTGACTGACAAACTGGGGATGGGAAGAAGAGATAAACCAAAGAATTTATATGCATATACACACAACCAATAGACACAGACAACAATACAGTGAAGAGGGGTGGGATGGGAGGAGGGTGCCGGGGGGGGGGGGGGGGAGGAGGACATTTGTAATTTTAAGGAATCAATAAATTCAGTTATTAAAAAAAAAAAAAAAAATCAATGGAGCCTGGCCGGCGTGGCTCAGTGTATTGTGCATCATCCCATGGAGTGAGAGGTCCCAGTTTGATTCCCAATCAGGGCACATGCCTGAATCTCAGGCTCGATCCTCAGTAGGGGGCATGTAGGAGGCAGCTGGCAGATGTTTCTCTCTCTAAAAAAAATCAGTAAAAACATAAACAAAAGATGAAAATAAATCAATGGAAAAATATTCTTGGGCCCTGGCCAGTTTGAATCAGCAGTTAGAGAGTCGGCCTGCGGTCCAGAGAGACCAGGGTTCAGTTCCCGCTAAGGAACCTTGGTTGGTTTGTCCCCAGCCCTGGTTGGGTCGTGCGGGTGGCAATCACTCGATGTGTCCCTTTAACATCGATGTTTCTCTCTCTCTCTCTCTCACTCTATCTTAACAAAAAATGGAAAAATGTCCTCGGGTAAGGATTAACAAAAAAAATAAAAATAAATAAAAAGGTAAAAATAAAATAAAATCTGGATTCTATTGAGATTAAATATACAAAAGGTAAAAGTGATATATAATCAAACCTATAAGATCATGGTTTCTGGAGGACAAATTAAGGCAACACAAGTTTGGGTGCCATTCTGGGTGTAGTTAATACCTCTAGCCATTCAGTGGCACCAATAGCTCCGAAGTCTCCAGCACTCCAGCTGGCAAAGACAATGCTTCTGCTGGGTTTAAACCCGTCTGAAAGACAATAAAAAGTTCATTTTATCTTTGAAAAAGTTACAGGCAGACAACTGACTTAAGAGAAAAGCAAAAACTTCTAATTCAAGACAGCAGATTAAACAATTTCTTTTCCTTTTGAGGCCTCAGGTGATAAAAAAAGAAAGAAAAAAATTTTAAAAGTGATCTATACTATCACATCACAAGGAAATAAATGTTGAATCACTATGTTGCACAATTAAAACTAATGATATTGTATGTCAGCTGTATGCAATAAAAATACATTTAAAAAAAAAGTAATCTGGAAAGAACAGGGCAGGCAATCACTTGCAAATAAGATTTCAAGTACACAGCAGGAACCAGCTTACTGAAAGTCACTTTTTTCAACTCCATTCTTTGGGTCCCTGAACTTATGGACCAAGAGATATCTGAAATGACAGTGTATCTTCTTTGAGAACAATTTGCTTAACAGTTAAGTCACTTAAGCCCTGGCCAGTTTGGCTCAAATCACTATGTTGTACACCTAAAACCAATATAATATTGTATGCCAACTACACTTTATTTTAAAAAGTCAAAGGCAGATATGAAAAAGACAATCTGCTTTATACTTAAGAATTCAGGTTCTAGCCCTGGCTGGTTAGGCTCAGCAGTTAGAGCGTTGGCCTGCGGTTCCGAGAGACCCAGGTTTGGTTCCCGCTAAGGGCACGAGCCTCAGTTGCAGTTTGTCCCCGGCCCTGGTTGGGTTGTGCGGGTGGCAGCTACTTGATGTGTCCCTTTCACATTGATGTTTCTCTCTCTCTCTCTCCCTCCCACTCTATCTGAACAAAATATCAAAAAAATGTCCTTGGGTGAGGATAAAAAAAAAAAAAAAAAGAATTCAGGTTCTGGAAGGAATGACAAAGGCGAAAGTGAGCAAGGCATTTTATAACATTCAAAACTATATGTAGCACATAGATATTCAAGTTCTCAAAACTTGCACTCTACCTTTTAAGACCATGTTAGAGAATATCTGGGCAAGTTCCAACAGAAGAGCTGTTCCCACACTGGATTTTGCAGCTCCAGGACCCCAGGCATCCCTCTGGGCCCCTACTACAACATAGCGATCTTAAAAGAAAAAAAAAAAAAGGCAATGAGCTCTGAAACTGTTTTCTAAGTCTAGAATAAACACATTAGTAGAAGGGTAAAAATGGAATAAACACATTAGTAGAACTGTAAAAATGAAGTATATGCTTTAAGGATAAGAGAGCCTCAGGGGATTAAAATTTACGTGACAATACTTTTTCCTTATCAGTACTGCTACTCTTTTTTTACACTATTGATTAAGCTTGCTCATCAACTATGTATTTGTGCTCACTTGTTGTTTAATAAACAACTGAAATCCAAAGGCTTTTCATACTAAATCATGTGACTACTTGACTGCATTTAAACAGATAGATGACCTATTTCTGGATCAGCAAACTGCAGCTCGCACACCCATTTATTACATATTGTCTATAGCTGTTTTTGTGTTAAAATACTAGAGTTAAATTGCTGCAGAGACTGTACAGCCTGCAAAATATTTATTATCTGCCGCCATAAGTAGAAATTTGCTTACTGCTGGTTGACTCAATAATTAAAAGTGACTTTCTAGCCCAGCCAGTGTTGCTCAATGGTTGAGTGTCGAGCTATGCACCAAGAGGTTACTAGTTCGATTCCTGGTCAGAGCCCAGGTTGTGGGCTCAATCCCTAGTAGGGGAAGTGCAGAAGGCAACCAATTGACGTTTCTCTCTCATCAATGTCTCTATCTTTTTCCCTCTCTCTTCCCCTCTCCCTAAAAACCAGTAAGAGGAAAAAAAAAACACATTTTTTAAAGCGATTTTCTAGTCACAATGGTCAGTTTTTGAGAAGTTACTTTCCTAGGACCTTATTAGCACCAATGAAACTGACACCTAAACAATTCACTTTAGGACACACAAGACTTAGCATTTCACAAAGCCAAGCTAGCTTTCCTACACTCCCTCCTCTGGCTGCATGCTAAAGAAGAGGGAAACAAACAGAAATACATAAATAAAGCAATAGATAGGCAGAGAGAGAGAGAGAGGTAGATAAAAATAAAAACCAAGGGTCCTTACCTGGTTCTTCAAAGCCTTTAATAACACCAAAGACATTTAAAATTCTTATTTCTTTCAGCATATTGTTCACAGAGAGTCTCACAGACCTATTCTGTGAGGTTACTAGCCTACATGAAGTATCTGTTTTCCAATAAGAAGGACAGTCTCCTTCCATATTTCTAGAAGTAAAAAACAGAAATCAATATTCTGAGTTACTGTTACTTTCTACAGGTTTAAAAAACCAGTCCTGCCCTGGCCGGTTTGGCTCAGCGGTTAGAGCGTCCGCCTGCGGTCCGGAGAGACCCGGGTTCGGTTCCCGCTAAGGGCGCGTACTTCGGTTGCAGTTTGTCCCCGGCCCTGGTTGGTCGTGCGGGTGGCAGCCACTCGATGTGTCCCTTTCACGTCGATGTTTCCCTCTCTCTCTCTTCCTCTCTCCCTCCCACTCTATCTGTACAAAAATGGAAAAATGTCCTCGGGTGAGGATAAAAAAATAAATAAATAAAAATAAAATAAAATAAAAAAAACCAGTCCTCCCCCTGGCCGGTTGCTCAGTGGTTAGAGCATAGGCCTCAGTGGTTAGAGCATAGGCCTGTGGACCAGAGTCACAGGTTCAATTCTGGTCAAGGGCACATACCTCTATTGTGGTTCATCCCCAGCCCTGGTCGGGTCATTTGGGAGGCAACCAGTCTATGTGATACATCGTGTTTCTCTCTCTCTCCTTCCCTCTCATTTATCTAATGATAAATAGAAAAATATCCTCAGGTGAAGAATAAAAAAGAAAAGAAAAAATCAGTCCTCCTTATTGTCCAGTACAGTTCCAGGTTAAGAGGACATATAAGAGAACATACAAAATGTACTTCCTAGTGGCTATTTGTGTCTTATTCCAATCTATATGCAGTCATTTGAAAATTATGTTACTTCCTTATTTAAGCAATGTTTTTATTTATTTTTTATCCTCATCCGAGGACATTTTTCGATATTTTGTTCAGATAGAGTGGGAGAGAGGGAGAGAGGGAGGGAGGGAGGGAGGGGGAGAGAGAAACATAGACGTGAAAGGGACACATTGAGGGGTTGTCACCCACATGACCCAACCAGGGCTGGGGACAAACTATAACTGAGGTATGTGCCCCTAGGGGGAACCGAACCCGGGTCTCTCCGGACCACAGGCCGACGCTCTAACCGTTGAGCGAAACCGGCCAGGGCTTAAGCAGCATCAGCCTGTGATCCAGAGAGACCCGGGTTCGGTTCCCGCTAAGGGTACGTACCTCGGTTGTAGTTTGTCCCCAGCCCTGGTTGGGTCATGTGGGTGACAACTCCTCGATGTGTCCCTTTCACGTCGATGTTTCTCTCTCTTCCTCTCTCTCCCCCCCACTCTATCTGAACAATTACAAAAAAAAATGTCCTTACCTTCCTCTTCTGATGTGTGCCTTTCTGCCAGATACATAGTTATAGTTTATATTTAAAACAGATACCAAGATGGACTCAGAATGAAGTTCTTTTATAAAATTCCATTAATATAATCCCATGTTTACTAACTCCACTAACAAGGGTAGTATGTATACAGGCTTATCTCAGTTATTAAAAAAATATTCTCATGATTCTGATAGTTAAATATTTTCCCATACCCAATTTCTCAAATTTTGTTCAAATGATGACTTCTGTAAAGGGGCTTACATAAATATAGTTGACCCTTGCACAACACAAGTTTAAACTGCACAGGTCCACTTACACTCAAATTTTTCTTCAATAAATATGTACATTACTGTAAAAATATAGTATATAATATTTATAAATATGTATACATATAACAAAGTATGTGTTAATCGGCTGTTCATGTTATTGATAAGGCTTCTGACCAACAGTAGGGTATTAGTAGTTAAGTTCTGGGGGAGTCTAAATTTATACACTGATTTCAATTGTGCAGGGGGGCAAGGTTGGCACCCCCATTACCCTCATTGTTCAAGGGTGAACTATGTCAAAACATTATTTCCCTTCACTACACAAGGACAAGACAGGGAGGCTGGCTTCACAGGTTAGGTGGTAGGAAGAATTACCCGATTCTTCTAAGTTTGGTATGAGTCGATAAAAATCACATATTACAAATGCCTCTTAGACTTAGACAGCATTAGTAATAGTCACATAGTTTCTTACATCCTTACATGGAGATGCTCTTCATTTGAAACCAATCACCCTATTAGGTAGAATATATTTTAGCTATCCAATTAAGCCAAAGAAACATGATTGGTGGGGTCAGAGTAACTTGCTCTATGTGTCACACAGCAAATAAATGCTTCCCATGAGTATCTGAAACCAGATCTACATCCTATGTCCAATACCAGGTAGGGAATATGTCTAGATCAAGATAGAAATTAATGGCATGTACTCTAATCAGATGGGGTTCTGTCTTTAAAGAAGGATACTAATACACTACGGATATCCAGGACTAATCATGATTATAAAATATCTGGAAACTGTAATGAGAACCGAGGATATTAAATCTATAGACAAGAAAACTTACATGGTTCCATTGTTTAAAAAAAAAATAATCCCAAATTAATGGGTGTTATAGGGAATAAGATTTCAGCTCAACATGAATTCCAACAGCTCTTCTCCAATAACTGAATGTGTTGCCATGGCAACAAAGTGCTTTACCACGGGAAGTATTCAAGCAGAAGCTTTGCCAGCAAATTACTGAAATTCACTGCATGAATCAAACAAGGATTCCTTGAATTTATAAATCCAATGTCTATTATTAATATCACTTCATGGGGAAAATTTTCATTTCCATCTACATCCAATTAACAACAGCTATCCACCCCCAAAATGTTTCAAAGGTAGAAAAATATAGCCAATTGTTTTAAAATTTTATCAACAGATTATTCCTCCCAAATCATAAAGCCTCACCCTGCAAGACAGTTTTCAAGTTAAGAACTTACCCAAACAGTTGCTCTGCACCAGCTCTGGAAATTGTTTGGACAGGTATATTAGGCAATCCTGATGACTGAGATGGTGGAAACTGAGTGTGATTGAAAGAAGGGAATCCCGGCGTATAAGGGTCACCTGTTCCCAGATGAGCCTAGTAAAACAAAAGAGTAATCAGCTCTCTCAGGTGCTTATTTAAGAAGTTTTCCTGTAAGATTAAGATTCAGTATGAGGCTATAGCCCAAGCTTAGTTTAGCACCTTAAAGTCTGAAAGTCTGAGTGGCTCTATGATGCATGACTCTTGTTTTTATATGGCATATGTCATACTCTAAATTCAAGACACTACAACAGTCCCCCCACATCCATGGAGAATATATTCCAAGACCCCCAGTGGATGCCTGAAACTGCGGATAGTACCGAACCCTACATATATATATATATATATACTGTGATGTTTCCTATACATACATATACTTTATGGCTTCCTATTTGGCATATCCAAACTGCCAGCATCCCTACTCTTGCACTTTGGGGCCATTAATAAGTAAAATGAGGCTTTTTTTGAACATAAGCACCATGACAGTCAATCTGATAACTGAGACAGCTATTTAGTGACTAACAGACAGAAGGTGTATACCACATTAATACGCTGGCCAAGCGATGATTCCAGTGCCAGGCTGGACAAAGTGAGATAACGCAAAATTCCATTATGCTACTCAGAAAAGTGCATAATTTAAAAATTATGAATTATTTCTGGAATTTTCCATTTAGTATTTTCAGACTGCAACTGACAGTGGATAACTGAAAGCAAACGCGCAGATAAGGAGGGATTACTATACTAATAAAAATACTTTTAGCAATAAATAATAATTAGTTCTCAAGTTATATAATCTATCTTCTTGCTTACTGATAAAACTCTCCAAGAAAAAAGAAGTATTTAAGGAAAGCACAGTTCTATTTCTACTAATGTAAGTGAAATCTAGCAATAATCTGGAGAACCCAAAAACTCATTTGCTCAAGAAATAAGAACTCACGTGTCCAAAGGCTGGAACATTTGCATCAACAATGGGAAATTTAGTATTATCCATGTAGATCAAAACACCAATTGCATTTAAACTTTGAGCATTTGCCACCTAAAGAAAAATACATAAAGCTCAGAATATGAAAATCTAATCATTTAAAATGAGAATAATACATACTGGACTTTATGCTAAAGGACAAAGGGTTACAGAGGATCACATCTATTCTCCCAACTGTTTCAAATAGCTTTTATGTTTAGAAAAAAAGATATGCCTTAAAACTCACTAAGAAGAGTTTAAAAGAGAGATAATAAAAACCCAGCCAAGATAATCACTATCTTTTGATATGTTCCATTCTAATTCCTTGTGTAGGTATGACTTTTAATTTCCCTTTTAGAAAAAAGTGTATTAATTTTTTAGAGAGAAAGGGAGAAAGATAGAAACATCAATTGGCTGCCTCCTGCACACCCCTTACTGGGGATCAAGCCCACAATCTGGGCATGTGTCCTAACCAGGAATCGAACTGGGACCTCTCAGTCCATGGAGCAACGCTCAATCCACTGAGCCACACCAACCAGGCTAATTTTCTTTTTATAAAACCTAGTTATAATTGAATTCTATATTTACATAAAACTCGGTTACATAACACAATTTAAACTGCTTTCATGCATGCATTTTTTGATGAGCTCATTTTCACTGAAAGGCAATGGCTACAAAATAATCCAAGTGGATATGCCATATTTTTGAAGTATCCTGTAACTTTAGATAATTGGGATTTGTTGAATACTTTTATAAATTGGATTATATTATCAGGCATGATTTTCAGAATGTAATAAAATTAACAATACTCACCTTTTCAGCAAAAGTGATTTTCCCTGCTCTAACAATCACTAAAGAGCCATTCACAGGATTGTTCAACCCCTCAAAGTCTTGTTTAGTGCCAAAATTAGCATGGACCAGTTTACCCTAAAATAAAGACATTAGATTTAATGAGCATTATCGTATTAGAACAGCCATAGAGTCTAAGACAGAATGGTTTTACTAATCAAACCCAAGACAGAAAAAGAAAGGGCCAAGGCCTAGAAAGGATATATGAGAGTTCTAAAGTCAAAAGTAATTAGAGTTGTTATCAGGAGTGAAGTCAACATTGCTGGCCTCCAATATTCATTATCCCGTGCTGTCTTTAATCTACACTGATCTATTTACATTAATTAGTTTACATTTAACCTATTTTACATGGCTTCAGACATCTCTGTGGAAAAGAAAGGATAACAGGATATGTTAAACACAGAGACGTCCACCAGTAGAAAGATAGTAGGCAAGCCATGGCAGCACCAATCACATGATATTCCTGCACTTGAACATCTGACAACTGAGGACATACATAGGTCCTAACTAAAAGTTTCGATAATAAATTTGTCCAAAAATGGTCTATTATAATAAAGTGACTTGCATAGATCAACTTTTAGATGCTTATATAAGCTATCATAATATTCCTAAACTCTTAGAGTTCAGGTGTACAGCTATAACCTGACATCAATAACCAAATATCTAAAAAGAGAAAGCTTGCAGAGGAACTAAAACCCTCAATGTTATTTCTTCCCCATTAATTTTTAGATAGAGTGGAAGGGTGGAAGGGAGAGAAACCAACGAGAGACATATCGATTGGTTGCCTCCCGCACAAACCCAACCAGGGCCAGGGATCAAACCCAGGTATATGCCCTTGACAGGGAATCAAACCTGCGACCCTTTGGTCTGCAGGCTGACACTCTAAAATTGCTGAGCCAAGCTGGCCAGGGCTAAAATCCTCTATGTTTTTTAACAGAACAATTCACACACCTCCTAGCTCATAGGTAGCCAGGGAAAGAGATACAACACATGTAAGCAGGAAGACAGAGAATAATCATAAAACTTTATCTGGCTTAAAAGGCATCCATCCACTAGACAGAACCCTGACATACACATATGTGGTTTTTAACCCAAAAAAACTAGATAGAGCTATTCTATCTAGCTGTTTTTTCATTTCTGTAATAATTGGGCCACATTTACCTACATTTTATAAGATCAAGCATTAAAGAATCAAGCTAAGACTAGGTCGTAGATAGGGTGGTACTGATATCTGTCACCACATAAGGGGGAATCTGATATATGCACTCATTCATCAAATACTACCATGTGTCAGGCACTGTCCAAGGCTCCAAGACATAACAGTAAATGAAACCAACCCCTAGCTCTTTTGTTTGTTTGTTTTTATCCTCACCTGAGGACATTTTTGCACTTATCTTCAGATAGAGTGGGAGGGAGAGAGGGAGGGAAAGAAACATCGAGAGTCACATCAACTGGCTGCCACCCACAGACTCCAAACGGGGCCGGGGACAAATTGCAACCAAGGTACATGCCCTTAGCGGGAACCGAACCCGGGACTCTCCAATCCGTGGGCCGACGCTCTAACTGCTGAGCCATACTGGCCAGGGCCCAACCCCTAGCTCTTTACTTAACTTACATGCCAATATGGAATCAAATGAATAATGTCAGGTGACATAAGTACTATGAAAAAAAAGTAAAGCAAGGTAGGAGAAAGTGATTAGAGGAAGGACATTTTTTTTTTTTTTTGGTATAAGTCCCTAGTGGGAACCGAACCCGGGACTCTGGTCCACAGGCCGACGCTCCAACCGCTGAGCCAGACCCCTGAGCCAAACCGGCCAGGGCAAGGAATGACATTTTTGTTAAGATAATCAAGGAAGACTTCCCTACGGAGGTAATGTTAGAGAAGAGACTTACACAAGGGGAGGAAACAAGCCATGCTGATATTTAGGGAAGAGTGGTCCCTAAAGGGAAAGGCAAGTTTTATAAAGGCCTTGAGGTAAGAGTGTGCTTGAATTTGAGTGTTTGTAGAACAGCAGGGAGACTAAGTGGCCAGAGCAGAATGAGAAGAGAGCATTAGGATTACTTAGGGGCTTGCCAACCAAGACAAAAACTTGGGATTTTATTTTAATTGTGACATAGGAGGGTTAAGAACAAGAATCTCATTATCAGTTACATTTTACAAGTAAATTTATACTGTAACTCCTAAGAACAGTAAAGACAATTCATTTCTGAGCTATTCAACAGAGAGAAAGTCACGTACTGCTTTGCCTTACTTACAGTAACTGTCGTTGCCTTACTATATGCCACGTAACCCTGAGGGTTCTCCACCAGGTATACCCCACCAGTGGCTGAATCCACCATGGTCACTGAGTTTGGAGCACTATTAAAAAGATGAAGTTAAAACAAAGCTAAGACCACCATTGGAAAAAAAATTAAATGGCTTTAATACATTTAGTTTTTGCTGTACTTATCATAACTAAAAGTAGCTACTTCTATAAAATTAGTTTATCATCTTTCAACATACCTGCCTTTGACCTGAATCTTAACAAAATGTTCATCATGCCAAACTTTGCTAAGTTTAAGTTTACGGAATTGATCTTCAAGATAAAAAGCAAGGCTTTCATCCCCTCGAGATCCAGCCTCACGAGGGACATAAGAATTTTCATTCAGCTGCCTGGAGGAAAAATGGTCACTGTTAGAATAAACATTAAATTCAAATATCAAACAAAATGTCTTTTTTTAAATTGAGATAACACTGGTTAATAACATTACATATGTTTCAGAAATATACCATTTAGTTTGATATCTGTATGTACTACAGCATATTCATAACTCAAAGTCTAGTTTCCAACAAATAAATTGTTTTAAAAGCATAACTTAATACTATGCATTGGAGTTAAGATAAATTTACGGTGACCCAAAAAGTCTGGACTGGCCAGATAGAGATAAATTTAGAAGGAAAAAAATTGTGCTCAATATCGGAAGGAATTTATGACTTCAAACTTGCTAAAACCATTTTATCAAATGCAAAGAACTTCAAGAAACCCCTTCCAATATAATATATCTACTTAGAATAGTTTTAGGGGAAAAGAGCAACTTCTAGATCTTTTGTGAGAAAAATGAGAGAGTATTATTATTGGTGAACTCAAGATTATAGCTTCAATTTTCACCTACTCTTGAAACAATGTGAAACCCCTGGAAGCAAAACTGCTTATTCTGGTCTGCCATGACTATTTGTAAACATGCATAGCATATCAGTTATTTGATCTTTTGGGGGGGGCGGTGTACACTATACTCTTACTTCATCCATAATGCCTGATGTACCGCATATACAAAAGTATTTATCAGATGGAGCAAAAAAAAGCCAATATTTAAAATTTAAGACTAAAAGAATTATTGTACCATTGAAACTATAGGAAGCTATAAAAGGTAAAAGATGAATTTGTTCTTTACAGAGTTAGATATGTGTCTAAGGAAGATCTTAAAAACCTAAGGATAGAAAACTAAAGAGCACTTCTTAGGGCATGGATTAATGAGTGAGAACCAGAAGAAATCAAGGAATACTACAGACATGTCAAGTTGGGCAGTCAAATTAGTCTCGATCTAAATTATAGAGGATAAAGAAGGCTACTGATGCCCTTGTGGAGAGTAGCAGAGCTCGGCATGACTTAAAAAGGGGTTAGTGTCAATTTTAAAAAAGGGGTGGGGGGGGTAGGATGGAAAATCTGAGCAAAAGCAAGTCTGACAGCAAGCAACAAGCGACAAAGAACCAGATGACAGAAAGATTAAGGACCTGTGAATATTTTGAAGAAAAAGGAGAGTCCCCACAAAAGTTCTAACTATTCCTTCCCCTCTAACAAAACATAGGAAGTCTTCCCTACTCTAAAACGCCTTTCCTCCAGACTATCACCTTTGTTTAGGTATTGAGGTTGAACTGTGTCGTAGCTTAAGCTTACCTGATTCTTTTGGTGAACTCTGCAGTATTCAGTTTATCTGAAAACATTGTTTTCAGGTCTGTCCAAAATAAGCGGGAAGGTCCTTCAGGGAAGTACTCTTCTGTTTCATCTATCTCCGGAGACTCTGCTGTCTCACATTCAGCTTTTGGTTCTACACGTTTACAATAGCCCAAGTAGCCAATCATAAATCCTAAGGATGAAAAATTACAGAGCTGAATTCACAGAATTTCATTTATAATCTATTCCTATAAGAATTGTTAATATTTTCAGCTAAGTCTTGAAAATACTGGTTTTAATCAAATTTAAAGCAGTTTGAAAGGAAATATATGTTTTATATATTTTAAACCATTTAATCTAATAAATTATATAATGACTTTATTTTAAACAGTTACCTTTTCAAAGCATAGGTACCTTTTCTTCCCAGAAGCCTTCCCTGACTCCTTAGGCCAAGCTTCTATGCTACAAATATGCTGTACATATTTCTAGTATAACATTTGCACATTACACTGAAATGATTCATGTGTCTCCTTCTCCCACCAGACTAATGATTGTATTCCTAGTACCTAGCACAATGGCACATAAAAAGGTACAATATAAATGTTTGCTGAATTGCAACAACTTCCTGGAATTGGTGAAAAGGAGTATGTGAGTTTTTGAATGCCACTCTTACCTATCAAGAAAAAGATGATTACAGCAATAGTCCCATAGCAGATAAGTCCATTAAATCTTTTTGGTTTTGCAACATGGGCACAATTACCCCTTGTGTTATTGTCAACATCTTCTTCGTCTGCAGCCAGTTTCATCTCCACATGACTGTTATCACCATCTACTTGCCGCGCGAGACTAAACCGGGTATATGACAATGGTTCTCCACCAAACTGAGATTTTTAGAGAAAAAAAAATGACAAAAAAAGAGTAGGAACATTTACAAAAAGGTTGGTCAAGTAACATACTTATTATTGAGCCATTACTATGGCTTGCTATACATTCTTAAGGAAAAAGAAGTTCCCCTTTCAAACCAATATTCTTCCGCATGCCCAGTTCTGTCAATGGCAGGTGATCATACCTGGCCTTCATCTCATTCAGTCTTTTCATTCAGGGTTTCGGTTATGTATATATTCTCATATACATTTTGATCTGTGCTTTCTTTAGTTCATCTTATCTACTTGGCAGTCCCCTTCTACCATGCCCCAAATACCCTGAAACTTATGACAGGATTTTCCATAATTAATTGTACTCAAGACTAATATATTTTTTGTGGGCTGAGTTATACCTCAAGATCACCATTTCAAATGTAAATGAATACCTGATAACAGTTTTGGGTATTCATGCTTACTTGGCAAAAGCCATTATTGTATACTTCATATCCTTACACACCGATGACAAAGAAATATAAACTTAAAATATCTTACCAAGTTAGAGAATGCTGATCTGGCTTGATCCATCATTCTGAGCTGCCACACAGAAGAGCCTAGTAATAAAAATAGAGAATTATGATAATGAGATAGATGCCATTGTATCAGACTAATCAAGGCTTTCATTACCATGCTAGATTGTTATGTATCAAATTTACTTTTTAATGTTTAAAAAATATTTTTATTGGATTTAGAAAGAGAGAGAGGAAGGGGGAGAGAGAGAAACATAGATGGGAGAGCAAGACATCAACAGGCTTCCTGCCTCCTGCAAGCCCCCTACCGGGGATTGAGCCTGAACTGGGGCATGTGCCCTGACCAGGAATCAAACTGGCAACCTTTCCATGCACAGGAATGATGCCCAACCAACTGAGCCAGTCAGGCCTCAAATTTACTTTTAAGTATATTATCACTTTTAGTATACTTTTAAGTATATTTCTAGAAAGGGTCTTTCACTAAGATATTTAGTTTATATGACAACTAATTTAGTGTAATCCTTGATTAGATCTTGAATTGAGGTGGAGTGGGTATGGGGACTTCAAGGGCTTTATTAGGAGAAACAAGAAATTTGCATATAAGTTATATACTGAAAAACAGTATTGTATCAATGTTAGATTTGGGAAGTATGATAATGATGTTGTGTTTTTGGAGAATGCCTTGTTCTTAGTTCTTAGGAGATTAATGGTTAAATATTAAAGATGATGTATTGTTATGTCTGTAATTTACTTTCAAATAGTCCAATTTTTGAAAAGTATATAAGAAATAAAGCAAATGTGGAACCTGTTAACAAGTGGTGAATCTAGGTAAAGGGTACATGGATATGCATATTACTATTATTTTCATTCTTCCTGTAGGCTTGAATTTTTTCAAAATTAAAAATGTGGGGGAAATTAGTTAGAATGTCATCCATGGTAAGTAGATTTAAGTAACTGAATTTAGTCAAAGGGACAAACACCAAAGACAATAGACTGGCACCTGGAAAAAAAAGAAAAAGAAAACCAAGCCAAAGTAGAATTGAGTCAAGACTGATCGTGCGACATAGACCAGTAACAAAGCATCTCCGATAGAAAGAGAGGAAATCTGATCCTTCTGATTAAATGAACAGTTCCTATAAATGACTTGATAGATCTCTGATGCAAAAAGAATACACAAAAGGAAAAGACACAGAATATACTGTTTGCTAGATGAAGAGGCTGATTGTCTGAGAGGGTAAGTGACTTGTTCAAGGCTGAAAACTGATCTTATGTTAAGTTAAAGCATGGGCATTACTGAAATCTGGATTTTTAAAAAATCCTCACCTAAGGACATTTTTCCTTTTTTTTTTTTGTTCATCTAGAGTGGGAGGGAGAAAGAGGGAAAAAGAGAGAAACATCGACGTGAAAGGGACACATCGAGTGGCTGCCACCCACACAACCCAACCAGGCCCGGGGACAAACTGCAACCGAGGTACGTGCCCTTAGCGGGAACTGAACCCAGGTCTCTCCAGACTGCAGGCCGACGCTCTAACTGCTGAGCCAAAAATGACCAGGGCTGAAATCTGGATTTTTAAAATTAATTTGGTTTCAGTGCATCTAGACACTAGAAAGTGGTATTATGTTGAGATGTGTAAAATGAGCATTTTTGTCATGCTATTTTATGGCTTTCCTGATACAAGTACACTTATAGTACATTTAACACCGACATGGCACAAAGCAAGTTGTGAGATATGTGTAACTATAAAACAAAAGACATTATATAAACTAGAATTAGAAAAGTCTCCTATCAAAATCTATTAACAATTTTTTTTAATTCCATAGTTTTAAAGACCAGAGCCAAAAGCCAATAAAGAGAGCATATTCTTAGAAGCACAATCTCTTGCCCCATCTGGTACAAAATGCTTATCACTGTCACTGCACCAGAACCGTACAAACCCAATCACTAGAGCCAGAACTAGAAGGCCCCACCCTGAGCCAATTTTAATCACCCTTTTCTAGGAAAAAGCAGCTTACAAGTTTAATTCTCATCTGAATCAACCATTCCTCAAGGTTTCTAGTTTTAAATTAACTTTAACACTAAAGTGACAACGTATTTAAATAAATTATCTAAAGGATTTAAATAAATGAGATCGAGTAATTGCAAGCCTACAAAAACCAGTAGATATTAATAAAACATGTAACTATCTTTTGGTATAATTAAAATCAAAGTACATTTTTTACGGAGAAAACAGATGTTATTTCTGTTTCAATCCCCAGACACAAAATTAAGACAATAACATAAAAGAAATCAAGTCAGAGGATAAAAATTGTGACCTAGGCCATTCTGTTTTTTAATCCTCACCCAAGGACATTTTTCCATTTTTTGTTCAGATAGAGTGGGAAGGAGAGGGAGAGAGAGAGAGAGAGAGAGAGAGAGAGAAACATTGACGTGAAAGGGACACACTGAGTGGTTGCCTCCTGCACGACCCAACCAGGGCCAGGGACAAACTGCAACGGAGGTACTTGTCCTTAGCGGGAACCGAACCCAGGTTTGATTGCAATAACATTACCCTGTCTATAAACAAGTAGTTCTGGTAAAAAGCCACAATCAAAAGCCAAACAACTCTTATTTGGTTTCTTTCTTTCTTTTTTTTGTTTTTTTGTTCAGGTAGAGTGGGAGGGAGAGAGAGGAACAGAGAGAGAGAGAGAAACATCGATGTGAAAGGGACACATCGAGTGGCTGCCACCCGCACAACCGACCAGGGCCGGGGACAAACTGCAACCGAGGTACGTGCCCTTAGCGGGAACCGAACCCGGGTCTCTCAGGACCGCAGGTCGACGCTCTAACCGCTGAGCCAAACCAGCCAGGGCTTATTTGGTTTATTTCAAGATGTCACCACCAATGCTGATAACCTACTAAGAAATAAACCAATCATCACCTTGATTTTTTTTCATATTAGCACTTTATCTTTGGTGTTCTTAACAATAACTGGAAAAGCTATTCAGTTTCTCACATTGATAATGAAAATTAAGAGCCCCATGTGTTTTGAACATGAAATGGAAGACAGGAGGCAGGCAAAGGTACTAGCTAGACTACAGTCTCAAACGTCTTTAAAATTCAAATAATCTTATTCCTACTTTCTTTAAATGTGGCATTAATTTCTATTTAATCTTTTAAACTACAGTAATTATCTTGAGGTCTTAAGCTCCTTGGGGGTGTCTCAAAACCTGAGTGGGGAAGCAGGAGATCAGGAACCAAAAGACACTTTCATCTATTTATAACACACTCAAAGCTGCTACTTCATTTTACCTGAAATAAAAATTAGACACTTGTTTGTTATTACTAAAAAGCTTACTTCAACGTAGAAAAGAAGCCCCAGTTTCAAGTCCTCGGAGCTCTGCCTTCTTGAGGCTCTGTTCTAGTCTACCTTCACTACCTAATACTTCACTGCCCTCTACTTTCTCCAAAATAAGACAGAATCCAGCCCCTGCCTTTACCCACTAACATTCTTCCTCTGTTCTTGAAGTCCTACTCATTTTTTCCAGGCTCAGCTCAAGGGCCATCTCTGTGAAGCCTTCTCTGATTTCCCTATCCTATATAATACTTGACATAGAATTACATGGTAATTAACAGAGTAAAGAGATTTTATTTCTTAATATAGGGACATGCTTAATGTATATGAAGTTCATTTTTCACATCATTTGGAAATGTAAGAAAAGAATATAGTGAAACCTATACCTGGAATCTTTTCCTATCCTTGTCACAATTCTGGTTTATCCTGAAATCACTGGGCAAAGCTTGGGGAGTCGGAAGATTTTTAAAAGTAGAAAAACTTTAAAGTTTATGTGGTAAGGCTCTAAGACCTCAAGCAGTTGTTATAGATATCCATTTTGCAAAATAAGACAGAAAGTATTTCCCTAGACAACTATGCATCTGCAGGTGAAAATGAAAAGATTAGCCTAGCCTGGCCAGTGTGACTCAGTGGTTGAGTGTGGACCCAGGCACCAAGAGGTGGCCAGTTAGATTCCCAGTCAGGATGTATGCCCAGGTTGTGGGCCTGATCCCCACTGGGGGGAATGCAAGAGGCAGATAATAGATGGTCTCTCTCATTGATGTTTCTATCTCTCTCTCCCTGTCCCTCTAAAATCAAAAGAAAAAAAGTTGAATAAAAATAAATGAAATGAAAAGATTATACAAACTTACAAAACTTTTTCAGGGCCCTCAACTCATACTTGTGTATAAACAGAATGACTTGTGAAGAGACAGTCAAAATCATTCCTAGCTTAAGAGTCTAAACTAAAAAGGCAGTGGAGGACAAAGAAAACAAGCAGTATCTTTATCCCCATTCAGCTTTCTGAAAAATGATTGCCCAACTGGTAGGTCAGGACCACTTGAAGTCATTGCAGTTTATCTGTGTAGTGTTCATCAGGAAAAGCATACGGTAGGCGCACACACACAGAAGAGTTCCATAAGGCCTCAGAGGATCCTTTTTTTTGTTGGTTTTTTTTTTTTTCTTTCTTGCATTTATCTTTAGATAGAGAGGGAGAAAGAGAGAGAGAGAGACAGAAACATCGATGTGAGAGAGACATAGCTACTGGTCGCCACCCACACGACCACAATTGGGGTTGGGGACAAACTGCAACCAAGGTACATACCCTTAGCGGGAACTGAACCTGGGACTCTCTGGTCCTCAGGCCGATACTCTAACCGCTGAGCCAAATCGGCCTGGGCTGTTGGTTTTGTTTTTTAATTGATTTTTTTTTTAGAGAAATGAAGGGGGGGAGGGCGGGCAAGAGAGAGCGAAAGAGAGAGAAACATCAATGTGAGCAAGAAAAATTGATCAGTTGTCCCCAGCATGCACCCCCAGGGATCAAACCCCAAACCTGGTATGTGCCCTGACCAAGAATTGAACCCCACCACCTTTTGGTGTACAGGATTAAGCTCCAACCACACCAGCCAGGGTGAGGATCATTTTTAACTAGTTTTCATTGTTATCTGATTCCATTTAGCGAGCCTTGCTCCATTATAAATACATTATCAGAGGAAAATAAATGCCTCGCCTTAGGGCAGAATTAGCTAAGGTGTTCTTCCCTATCTTCAGCACAGGCTAGAAGCACACCATTACTTGACAAAGAACATTCCATCAAAGACAAATTAAAGGGTGCCATGCTATATATAGACTTTTGGAAAATATATCAATGACAAAAATTTTTTAATTCTGGATTTTCTTGTGAAGCATACTTAGTTTATTATAATCCAAAACTAAGGGATGGGGGCAACAGGGCCAGCAAGTACTTTAGAGTGCCTAGATTTTCACAGTAAAAAACAACTTCTGTAAATCACCTAAAATATTTTTGTCCATAAGGTCAAACTTCTCAGCTCAGAAACAACTGAATCAGCATCTGGTGTTCCAAACTCATATTTAAGCATAGAATAAAAGATATAAGTTATCTAAATACTTCTGTAACAGGACAACTATTTCCTACTTCAATCCTATTAACACATCCTCCACCTCTGCCAAGGAAACAGGAAAAAGTAGCAATCAATTTTTCTGATGTGCCCAAGGTCACTACAGTGTGCAGAGGAAAATGCTGACCGAAAAGAGTCAAGTCACAAAATACTATTTTCTTACCCACTTTCCCAGCTACCACCTTAGCAGCTGTCCACCAGAAAGGGACACAATGGGCCTTTGACCACATCACCAATTTCCTGAAGGTGCAGGGCAATTCCAATCCAAATAGCTTTTACTAAGCCTCTAGACCACAGCTTTCATAAAGTAGTTTTATTCCCATGGTCTCCCATCTCACAGTGAGGAGAGCCAAACAATCTGAATACTCTCAAAGCGTTCACTGAACCTGCACTGTTCAGTCGGCTTCGGTCTGGGGAAAACTGAGAAGCCAGACACCAGGCCAACAGGCAGCGTGCGGCAAGAAGGATCAGGTTATACCAGAGTTCAAATGTACAGCTTACAGAAAGCCCCATCTAAACGCCCAGTGCGCACTCGTAACCGAATCCACGGCAGCTCTGTCCCTTTCAGCAGCGAGGTCCCGGGGTGGGCGCCAAAGCGGCGAAGGGCTAGGAGCTCAAGGTCACCCAGGCAACGTGACAGCCTTTCCCCAGGGACACTTCCTAGTCAGCCACGTGCTCGCGGCAGAGCGGGCCAACCGGGCGGCAGGTAGCATGGCGTGCCCGGCGCAGGGTGGACACCTGGTTCCGAGCCCGCGGCGCAGGGCTGTCCCACGAGGACCCGCAATATTAAGGGCCCACTAGTGTGCACAAGGGATCAGGTGGCCGGAAGCAGAATGGCGGGGCGTGGGGTGACGGTTGGGAACCCTTCATCTCGCCCTCAAAACCCTAACAGGGAAACCACTCTCCCCGGCGACTGAGAGGAGCAGGGAGCAGAAGAGAAGGGCAGCCCCGCTCCGCACCCGCGACCCACCCGCTGCACCTGCAGCCCGCTCCTCGCGCCGTCGCGGCCCCTTCGCCAGCCGCACGCGGGCCCCGCTCCTCCCGGGGGCGCGGCAGCCTCCCCGCGTCCCCGGGAAGATGCTGGACAGCACCGAGCGCGGCTGCCCTGCAGATCGCTCGGACCAGCCCCACAGGACCCGCGGGTGGGCGGAGTACTAGCTGCGGAGCGTCACTCACCCCCGAGCCTCCTCCGTCCGCCTTCTCCAGACCTCCGCCGGCCGACGCTGCCGCCCTTCGAGCGGTTGGTAGTCCCCACCAGCTGTTTATAGTCGGGCCGGTCTTTCCGCCCCCCATGGGCTTTGCGTCACTTCCGGCATCACGTATACCTATAGAGGCTCTGAAAAGGGATCGCCGCGAGCGAAGGGTGCGCATGCACCGGGACCTGGGCCCGCCTCGAGAGCGAGGCGAAGGAGGGGCAGGGTGAGGAAAAGGCGCCAATTCTGCCAGTGCCGCGGGTGGGGGTGGGGGAGGAGGGGAGGGCGTGATTGGCACACAGTCTGCCTCCCTGCCATACTCCGCTGGGGTGCGGCTCGCGGCTCTGCAACCCTGAGCCATTAGTCTAACCTTGACGGATCTCCAGGCTTTCCATGCAAGGTCAATTGGTGAAGCGTTTACTCCTAAAGGTTGGATTCTTACACTGCAATAATTATTTTAAAGTGTATGTCCTGATGGAATATTAGGTAGCCTCTAAAGCCATATTGTGCAGATATATTTTGCAGTCTCAGAAATATTTAGGATAAGCAAAGAGGAAAAATAATTAAAAGCAAAATGCAAATTTATACTTAGGATTTGGAAAAGCTGCTCATGAACCAAGACTGGCAGTGCTTCACCTAATGGTTAATGCATAAGGGAATGGAAGGGAAAATAGGAAAAGTGATTAGAATGATAGAATTAGAGATGAACTTTCATGTTCATTGCCATATTATTATAGGATTGTGCAATGCATAATAAATAAAATTGAATTCTTGTCACTTTTTAAACTCTTTCCAAACATTCACACCCTCTCCCTGCCTCTAGTCTGTAACCTATGGTACAGTGAGGGAGATTAGACAAGTGTACAAATAGCTACAATGAGGAAAAAACGACCAGGCTATAAATTAAAAGAGTTATAGATAAAGTGTTTTCAAGGGTAGCGCCCAGAGAGATGTAGAACAGTCCTTTAAAATGCAAATTAGTTTCTGCTCCTGCTCTTCCCCTATGTGGCACTAAAATATAGAAAATACTGGGGGCCTACCTACCACCTTTCCCTTTACCCTCACTGCCCCCTTCAGTCCTAAAAATCTCTCCCAAAGGGGAACTATTTAAAAAAACTTATCAGCAGGCGTGGCTGGTTTGGCTCAGCGGTTGGAGCGTTGGCCTGTGGACCAGAGAGTCCCAGGTTCGGTTCCCGCTAGGGGCACATGCCAAAAAAAAACAAACTTATAAGCAGAAGTATCTCTGCACCTTAGTGGATCTACACAGGATAAAGTTAAAGTGAAGAATAGGGTGGATATGGATTAGCTGTGGAGGAATCACCTTGAAATTCAGACAGTAGGCCTGTTGAGTCCCCCTCTCCCTTTCCTAGACTGGTGGGGTCTTAAAAAAGAAAAACAAACAAGGCTAGTATTCTGGTGAAAATCTTACAACCACATGGGAAAAGGGAAGCTTAGGAGTTGGAGGTCAGGACAGAAAACCCAAAAAAAAAAAAAAAAAAATTTACACTTACTAAAATGAAACAGTAAAGAAGAAGAACACCACCTTAAGAGTGTGTCAATTATATATTTATTTTCATGCTTTTATTAGTAATAACAGACACTGAGCAATTAAATTCCCTTTACTATTCCTTTCTCCCTAGAAGCTTTTCAGGGTCTCCCTCCTCTGCAATTTCAAGTAGATGAAAATAAATTTGTCTTGCTTTTTTGCTGAATCTACACATACTGAGAGGTAGTTTTGCTTTATCTGGCAGTTCATACAAATGTTCCATTAAACAGAAAACCACAGGTCCAAAATGTCATCATTTGTGCTAAAAGCCCATGATACCAAACCTAGATTTAGTACCTGGCGTAGTTGAAATTTCAACCTCTCCCAGAAATGTAATCTTAATCAACCAGTCTGAAATTTTCCACAGGTAAGGTAATCTGTCACCCAGGCCCTCTATAATTGATTTGAGAGAGAGAGAGAAGCATCGATTTGTTGTTCCATTTATCTCTGCATTCATTGGTTGATTCTTCTATGTGCCTTGATGGGGGATCAAACCGGAAACCTTGGCACATCAAAATGACACTCCAACCAACTGAGCTACCCAGCCAGGGCCTGGGCCCTCTTCATCATCCCCCAACCTCATAGAAAGAACAGGCAATCTGCATGATAAAACCCATCCCATTCTCTTCCCTCTAAAAAGAGATACCCTACCCCAAAATAATTTTTTCTTTTAATAGCTCCCACCTTGGCTGGTTTGGCTCAGCAGTTAGAGCGTTGGCCCTTGGACTGAAGGGTCTTGGGTTCGATTCCCGGTCAAGAGCACGTACTTGGGTTGCAGGTTCAATCCCTGGCCCTGGTCAGGGCCCTTTAGGAGGCAACTTATTGATGTGTTTCTTGCACATTGATGTTTCTCTCTCTCTCTCTCTCTCTCTCTCTCTCTCTCTCTCTCCCCCTCCCAATCTCTCTAAAAATGAATGGAAAAATGTCCTTGGATGAGAATTAACAATAATAATAGCTTCCTTGCCCTAACTTCTTCCTATGAAAACCTCCCATTTTGTGCAACCCCTCAAAGCACCCTTCTAATTGCTAGATGATATGCTGCCTGATTCATGACTCATTTAAAAAACCAATTAGATCTTCAAATTTACTTGGTTGAATTTTGTTTTTTAACAGTTCAAAGATTTTATTTTTTTAATCTGATTTTCATCGTCATTGTTGCATTATTGCATAGCCTTAGCCCCCACTTCTGGATGACTCCCAATACTGGAGTCACCATCATGCTTGCAAAGAAATACGTTTTGGGCAAACTTTAAACTATAACTGAACTGGATATTATTCAATTCCCAACCTTCCACAGACTGTTATATAACACTTCTGTTATACTTGAACTGAAATTTCTGCAGTTCTCCCTAAAGGTACACAGGAAAAGTCATATATACTAAAAATTTTGCATAAAGGAAGCTAGAGGTCAGAGGGGAATAAAAAATGTGAAGAAAATATAAAAATAAATCACAAGGATGAGTTCTGGGGAAAGAGCACAAAGCCTGGAGTCAAGGATCTGGAGTTCTCAATTTTCTTGAGCCTGGGTTGTTACCAACTGTAAAATGGAAATAAAAATACCTGCCTGGAAGAATTTCTGTGGGTTTAAATGAGATAAGGTGGGTGCAAGCTCATAAAAAAGAGTCTGGCTCATAGTAGACCCTTGGTGGGCATTGATTGGGTCAGTCGGGTGGGATGGTGCAGGGGCAGGGAAGTAATGTGGAAGACATCTACAGGCCAGTTCAGGCATGTCCTGATTTTGGCAAGTTTGCCTTCTACTGCTTCGCTTTTACCAAAGACCTACATTAGTATCTGTGAGGCAGGATAGTATGAAGCTAGGAAAATTCCTTGGCAAGTAGAATAGGGCAACTGAGCCAGATAGTTAAACAAGCAGTATGCAGCCATTTAGTAAATCTAGATGCCAAGCAGTTTGCAGCCCTCTAGTAAATCCTATCTTCCCTAAATCAAGAATAAATGGTTTGCACTTCTCCTTCCCAACCAGAGGGTAAATAGCTTAAATCACCCTGCACAGGGAAATAGATAGAATAAATCCAGTTATTCCCATTTGCCAACCACACCCAAGGACAAATGAAGTTAAAGGAATAAGTCTCATTTTGGCACATCAGCATAAAACTGATGAATATTCTGTTGAGATCCTCTCCTAAGACCTTCCCTAAACTTCCAGTCTTTAAACCACTCAAAACTTCAGTCCGATGTTGAGCTCTCCCTCCAGGGAGCACGCACAAATCTTTCCCCTCCCCTCCCCCTCTTTTTCCCCCACAGGCAAGCATCTCCTAAACTCTAAGGGACCCCATGAGGCTTACAACCAGGGCAGCAATGGGCAGTGGTAGATCATCCCAGACAAACCCTCTGACCCTGTCTCCAAGGCCCCCTTTTCTCTGACTTCTTAGTGAGCCAAAGCAGCCCAGCCTAGGCTCATTTCCCCACTAGTCCCTCTCCTGTTATCCTAGGCTCTTCCTTGTTTTACAGTCCCCAGCTTTAATAAACATCCTCTAAAATTCACCTGGACTCATGCTGTGAAATTTTTCCTGCATGAAGTCAAGAACCCACACACTACTAGCCAGCCTTAAGAAGACCTGCTAAGGGCCAGGTGCCCTCTCTGGTAACATCTGTTTTCCATAACCAAAGGAAATCTGAAGAAAAAAGGCCAAAGGGGGTGGGGGTGGGGAGCAAGATCAGCATTTGTTTTGCAGTGAGCCAATGCAGAGGCAGTGTGCACCCCCAGCAGGGAGAGTGGCCCCGCCAGCTCCTTCCCTGGGAATGACACTCAGTATCCTGGCATCAAGCCGCCATAGCTTTGAACTGTGTCTGTGAGCATTTGTGCTTTATCTCAATTTATTCTGTGCATCGTTAGCAGGATGTGTCCTAAGGTATCAGAAAAGCCTAAGAGAGCTCATATACTCAGCGTCAATCTGGACATCATTAAGTATATTTGGTATGATTTGGTAGGTTATTTTGGGAGGCTGGAATGCCCCCAATTTTCTCTTTTACACCATTTCAGCTTACAAAAGTTTTCATAGAAATGCTGTACTCTTGGGTGGTAGCAATGGGGGTGGGGGACCTGAGTAGGATTTAGGTTGATGAAGAGGAAGAAATAGGCGTTCAGTCTAGCAGAAAGGCTCGCCTGAAGACTGAAGTGAGAATGAGCTTCTGGTGAGTGTTAAACATTCTTCTCTACTGAAATATTGACAGCTTCTTCTGGGGAATTACTGGTGGAAGAGAGTATATGGGAGCCACGAGCTGCAAAATTCTCCCTTCCTCTCTTTTTTCTTCACCCGGAGATGAAAGCAAGAGTCTTGCTATTTGGTGAGGGAGGAATAGCAGGGATAAAAACATACCAGGGAAGCCACCGATGTGAAAGCAGCCTAGCAGCTGACAACTGGTCCCAGTGCTGTCACCAGCTGTACTGCAGAACCATGGGTTTAATGGCTCCCTGCCTCAGTTTCCCCATTGGCCACATGGAGGTTACATCTTTTTTTTCTTTTTTTT